TTGCTGCAGTCTTGTATTTTTGTTTCTTTTTTTTTTAATTTTATTTTTATAAACATATAATATATTTTTATCCCCAGGGGTACAGGTCTGTGAATCGCCAGGTTTACACACTTCACAGCACTCACCATAGCACACACCCTCCCCAATGTCCATAATCCCACCCCCCCTCTCCCAACCCCCTCCCCCATCAACCCTCAGTTTGTTTTGTGAGATTGAGAGTCACTTATGGTTTGTCTCCCTCCCAATCCCGTCTTGTTTCATTTACTCTTCTGTTTTTTTGTTTCTTAAATTTACCAAAAAAATTATTAGCGTATTTTAAAGCAAATTCTGCGTATGTAATGTCATCTGTAGTCTTTCAGTTTATATGTCTCCCAGATAAGACCTTTAAACAGACACAGCACCTGGATTGTGCCCAGTGGAATCAATAATCATTCGATAATACACTTTGTTACCTAGGCAGCAGTCGGCTTTTCCTGTCAAAGGTGTCATTCCAAAGTTAATTTATTTCAATCCAGATACAGTTCTCACATTACATAAGGTTATTTTGGTTAAAGCTTTTGTATTTTGTGGCAATAAAAAATTCCTCCCATTTTTCCATGTCTTAAGTGTGCTGCAGAAATGAGGTCATCTGTCTTCTAGAATGCCCCACATTTTGGATTTAGCTAATGGCTTTGTGTGGATGTGATTAAACATGTATTGTCCCAGAATTTCCTTTACACTGGGAGTCCAGTCTAGAGGTATGATTAACTACAGGTTCTTTTTTTGGGAAGAATGACTGATAAATGGTGCTCGCTCTTCACATCAGGAAGAATGTAACACCTGGTCGTTCACTTTCCTGACAGGATGGAAAAGTTGCTCTAGTGTCCCCTCTCATCCAGCCGTTGTGAAGTTCTCCATCAGCTCTGCCCCGGGCTTGAGCAGACATCAGGGGTTATTGCTTTTTTATTTCATTAGCTCTTAAAAACAGTTTGATTTTCCAATTTGGTCTCTCATTGTTTATTAGTTGTGGCTCCTGTACGGAGAGCCGTTCACCCTGACCAGCTGTGTGGCCGCGCTGCAGGCGTCACGCGGGAACAGCAGGCTGATGACTGCTGGCCTATAGAAAGCTTCAGAGAGATGACTTGGTATCCTGAGAACCTCCAGAGGTGACCGGCGTGGCGTGTGGATTTGGACACGTTTGTTACCCATTCGTTCTTTCCAGGCTCTGTCCTTCTGTGGCTGTGAGAACCCTTCCCTTCCCTTCCCTTTTTCCTTCCCTTCCCTTCCCTTTCCTTTCCTGTTGCTTCTGTGCCGAGACCACAGGCACGCTCCCTGGCTTCCTTGCTGTCATAGTGAGTGTGGCCCAGGTTGGTGTGACAGAAGCAGTCACCGGCGCTCTTGGAAAGTGTGGACAAGATGAGGAAAGCCTGAGGAGTTGTCACAGGCGGCAGAGACAACTGAATGCCCTGGGAGGTCCTAGATGGGACCCCCCCGAGACTTAATGAATGTTTCATTATGAAACAGACATCTCTGGTACATGGGAAAAGGATTCTTTAGGAACAGATCCGAGACAACCATCCTCTCCCAAGTGTTTAATAAGACTGATTAAACTTTTAGGTATAGCTTTGACAGGTGAAATTAAAAATGTCCAACTAGCATAGAGACCACAGGACAGGAAGGAGGCCCTTTGATTTCATCTCTGCCTTTTTACTTTCAGAGATGAAATCAAACCAGGGAAGTAAGCCCTTTTGTTCAGCTCAGGAAGGCTTTGTGAAGGCTGCCTCTGAACACTATCAGGTTTTCAAATTCCTAGGTCTTATGCTGGCAAATGCTTTGTTTTGGTGATAAATGTACCCCCCACCCCCACCCCTTTCTCTTTAAAACCTGGAGACCTGCTCTTCGGCCATTCCTGGAAGCAGTAGTTTAAATGGTTTAAGTCTCAGGGTGGTTTGGGGCTCTTGAATGAGTGATGAATAGATGGTTTTGTTATTTATTGAACTATTGTCAGTGTTGCATCATCGTACTCTGTCTTTATTTTAGATTCAGACATTTGATAAAGTCTGATTTTAATGCTTTGTACCTTTTGTGCTGCTTAAACAAGGTGGAGATCAGTAAGGTCTTTTCAGGTGTAGGACTTAGAAAAACAGTGCATGTTAGGTCAGTAATTAAGAGATCTTGTGGTGTGACGTCAGGAGTATTTGTTTGTGGACAGGAGGCCTGGGACAGACCAGGTTGGCTGTGTCTGTTGCGCTAGGACACTGCCGTGCTACCTTTTAAGCCTTTTGTCATGGAACATTTTCAAGCATGTACAAGCAGACTGGATCGAATCGTGAACCCCCATATCCCTCTTCCAAGGGGAACGAATACAAACTCCCACCTCTCTGTCCACATGTTGTTTTGAAGAAAATTCCAGACATCATATTACTGACCCTGTAAATATTTCAGTATGCAACTCTGTAAGGCCTGTTTTTTTTTTTTAAATTAAAGATATCCATAGCATCATTCTCACATCTTAGAAAATATAGTAATTTTTTGATACCATCAAATATCCCATCGGTACTGCTTCCCTGATTGTCATTTGTTTGAATTGAATAAAGCCACACAAACCAAGTAAAGCCATGGTTTGGCCAGTACGTGCATCGTGTGTCGTTGGTGTTGAGGAAGCCAGGCTACTTGTCCGAGTATTCCGCACTGCTGGGATCCGCAGGGGCACTGTTCGTAGTGAGTTCGCAAGTAAGGAGCAGCGAGTCAGTAATGAGACCATCCTGGGCGTGTGCGCACTGTTCGTTTGTTTGTTTTGCAAGACCACTTCCTGGCCTTGCTGCGGGTTCTGTCAGGAGGCACAGAGTCTCTGACTGAAAAAATATAGGTAGTAGTTGTAATAAAGGATTCTTACAGTTGGATTTCCCCTTTTGGCTGTCTTACCTTGTTTTTTTTTTTTTTTTTTTTTTTTTTTTTTTTAAGATTTATTTATTTATTTGACAGAGAGATCACAAGTAGGCAGAGAGGCAGGCAGAGAGAGAGAGGAGGAAGCAGGCTCCCTGCTAAGCAGAGAGCCCCATGCGGGGCTCGATCCCAGGACTCTGGGATCATGACCTGAGCCGAAGGCAGAGGCTTTAACCCACTGAGCCACCCAGGTGCCCCTGTCTTACCTTGTTTTTAACCAAACATCTTTTTTCGTTGAGAATCTTACAAATCGAGGAGTTCATAGTGGCAAAGTGTTTACAACACCTTCTGTGACATCTAGTTAGCATCCCATGACTTCATTTTCTGGTGTTTGGGGAGAGTCGATGTCCGTCCGTCCGTCCCTCCCTTTCTTTCTCTTTTTCTTTCTTTCGGTTTTATTTATTTGAGAGAGAGAGGGAGAGAAAGAGTACCAGTAGGGGGAGGAGTGGAGGGAGAGAGAGAAGTAGTTATCCAGCAGAGCAGGGAGCCCAGGATCATGGCAGGAGCCAAAGGCAGACGCTTCATCGAGTCACCCAGGCGCCCCTTGACGTTCCTTTCTGTGATAGTTTCACGTGTTGCAAACTCTTAGAGTGTAACGTCTCATACCCTGACTTTGGAGGACGTTGACCTCCATGAAACTGATCTGTTTCAGGCGTTTCTTCGCTTTCTGCAGTTTATATCGCCAAACCTGTGAGCACAGAAGGGATTTTGTGCTTCCGTGCCTGATGGTGGCGTTGTCCGTTGGAAGAGATTACCGCCGGCCTTCAGAGGGTTTCATCCACGGGAGCTTTGGGAATTTATCCTAAGCGGATTAGTGAGAGTCGGGAGCACCGGCGTAGAAACGAAGAACCTGCCTGGTTACCTTGCGAGACAGAAGTAGCTCGCTTTTAAATCTCTGTATCTGGCCGTGGCTGCTGTGTTTCAGGACAGCCTGAGAGGAACCTGGATTGAAGCCAGCCCTAGTGGCGCTCTGAGGCGGCGCAGCGCTGCAGAAAGAGGGAGACACCAGAGGGCAGCCCCGGGTGTCTGAGAACCCGGCTCGTAAGCTGGTCGTACGACATAATGAGTGTTGTTGTCTAAAAGAGTCATTATTTATGCTGTTTGGGAAAATCAGATGAGATCGCTCGTTGGAAGTTCAGTCTCTAACTGTTGAGGCAAATCAGTGCCTTGGAAAGTCTGCTTTGCAGCAGCGGGGCTCGATCCCAGGACGCTGGGATTATGACTGGAGCTAAAGGCAGAGGCTTAACCATGGAGCTGCCCACATTCCCCAGTCCTGCTGTCTTGAGGTGGTTTTCGGTTTGTGTGGGTCAGGATTTTGAAGGGATTTCTTTTTAACTAATTATTGTTTATTTCTCTTTAAAACTCTTGTTCTGGAACAAAATAAATTCATGGGGCCAGTCAAAATGATACATGTAAATTTGGGATTCATCAAATCACGAATTGTAGTCCTATTTTATTATTTTCTGTTTTTAAGAAAATGGATTTCTGAATATGAGTGGGTTTGTATGTTAACACGTGATTTCTAGTCTTAGTATATTCTTGGGTTGAATTATGGGCAGATTCCTTTTTTTTTTTTTTTTTTTTTTAGATTTTATTTGTTTAAGACAGAGAAAGAGAGAGAGAATGTGTGCACAAGCAGTGGGAGAGGGAGAAGCAGGCGCCCCTGCTGAGCAGGAAGCCTCATACGGCTCAATCCCAGGACCCTGAGATCATGACCTGAGTTGAAGGCAGACGTGTAACCTCTGGAGCCACCCAGGCGCCCAGTGGGTAGATTTTTTTAAACTACCCAGACTGCAGAGGCGCCTGGGTGGCTCAGTCCGTTGGGTGGCTGGCTCTTGATCTCTCCTGGGCTCTTGATCTCAGGGTCATGAGTTCAAGCCCTGACTTGGGCTCCATGCTGGGCGTGAGCCCAAATTTAAAGTAAATAGGTAAATAAGCCGCTTAGACTCCAGAGGGATAAACACATGCCCTGGAAAACCCGAGAATTTTAAGACTTCCTAGTAACTTAATTTTGAGCATCCGTTGTATTCTGTACTTCAGGTTACTGATGTGTTGTCTCCTGTTGGTTCACAGCATTCTACGGTCGCCATTCAGCTTCTCCCAGTGCAGCCACAAAGTAAACAGCTCATGACTTCTGATCAGGACACTAAGGTCGTGGCTGAACCGCAGGGCCAGCGAGTCCAGGAAGGGAAGGACAGCGCTCATCTGGTGAGTGTGGGTCGAGGCCAGAATTGGCCTGGTGCCTCGCTCTCCTCTCCTCCTCACAGAGGCTGTGTTGGATTTAATAAGTAAATCAGAGTAGTAACTCTGGCAGATCTTACAACCGAAGTATAGGTGTTATATTCTGAATAAGTTTATGCGAAGCTTAGTAGTAGAGGAAGCAGTAGTGGGTGAGAGAGAAAACACGTATCTCCAGACACTTAAAAGCTTTTGGAGCTGAAATCACCAAGAAAAATGCAGTGGTTTATAAATACTGTAATAACATTACACCTGTTCTACGGGTAGGTATTTAAAGAATTAACTAGGACTGTAAAATAAATTTTGACTGCTTTTAAGATTTTACCATATCAAGCAAAGCAGATTTTTAATTAATTTTCCCCATTGAAACTACAAAGAATTTGGCTTACAGTGGTCAGTTAGAATTTTAAAATATTTTAAGTTTCTAGGCTCCTACATCTTTCTGAATATTATTGATTTGTCATGTAAAAATGTATTTTTCTTAGGGGGTTTTGTTTTTGCTAAACTACTGTGGTTTGAAAATACTGCTTTCCATTGTACTGATGGTGTGTTTGATGTTTTCAATTTTACAGATGAATGGTCCCATATCCCAGACCACTCCTCAGACAAGCTCCATCCCAGCTTTGAGTCAGGTAATTCACAGCCGAGGCTCATGAATGAACGACTGTGTATTGTAACAAAATTAGAACATGCTGATGTTTCCCAACAAAGGGGGTCTGATGGTGGGGGAGCCCCATGTGGGTTGTTGTAAGTGGCCAGTACTTTGTGTCCTCCTTTGGCTTCTGTGTGTGCTGCATGTCTAGGTCTACAGACGGGTGTGCGGCATGTTCATTTAGTCTCAAATACTCTTCTCGGTGTTCTTAGTGATCCACTGGTGATCTGTGGGCTACGTATGATTAGAGCTACATTTTGAAAGTCTGTTCTTTAAAGTACACAAGTCATAGTAGGCTTTTACTAAGAAAATCAGCTTCACGTTTTGGCTGTGGTTAATGAAAGAATAAGCAAATGGAGATGCACCGCTGTTCAACTCTGTCTTTACCTTATGTGCATACGCATATGTCAGGTGCATTTGGGGCCGCTCCAGACTTAGCTTGGCATCTTCTAAGTGATCTTACAAACCTGGCACAGTTTAGAAAATAAAAACTTCTAAAGTAATCTTAGAAAACTTAGAGTAAATTTTGTCCACATTGCAAGCAGTTCATGTAACATCTGAAGGAGGGATTGGATTGCTGATCCTTTTAATAAGGTAGAATTTTTTTTTTAAAAGATTTTATTTATTTATTGGACAGAGATCACAAGTAGGCAGAGAGGCAGGCTGAGAGAGAGAATGGAGGAAGCAGGCTCCCTGCCGAGCAGAGAGCCCGATGCAGGGCTCGATCCTAGGACCCTGAGATCATGACCTGAATCGAAGGCAGCAGCTTAACACACTGAGCCAACCAGGTGCCCCCGTTAAGGTAGAATTTTTAAAAATGAAAGATTCCCTCCAAACTATTATTATTTCATTGTTGTTATTGTATATGTACTTTTTTTGGTATATTGTATTTTACATTGATTTTTTAAAATGAATTTTATAATATTTTAAGTAGTTTAAGATCCCAGTACAAGACCTTTAGTAATCTAAAAAGGAAATTATACAGAAATCATTAAAAAAAATCTTTTTAAGACCAATCTTCTTCCTCCCCATGGTTGATTTACGGTCCAACATAATATTCAGATAATCTCTTTAAAACTTATTGTAAGGATAAAACTAAATTTTGGTTTTTTTGGTTTTTTTTTTTTTTTTTTTTGCCTGTTTTATTAATTTATGCATAAATATTGAGACAAGACCTGTCTAGAAAAGAATTGAAACACTTGAGCCAGAATGTAGAATTTCACTTCTGTACAGAAAAAATTGGCAACTAGTACCGCCTGTATGTGCTGTCACTTTTAAGAGCTAATGCCCTGTAAGAGACCTTGATGACAAGTTCTTGCTTCGGCCTTGATCTTTTGCACCTCTGGTGGCCCTTGGGCACATCCCATCTCTGATGCAAAGTTTTGTAAAATGTGGATGTACTATTTGCCAGTGTTAACAGGGTGTTGCACACTTAGGTTTTCATAGGATCATTAAATAGTAGAGCTCAAGGTGCCCTGGGAGATATCTGGGCTTAGAACAAAGCTTTATTTACAACAAACTTAAGCATCTTTACAGAAAATGAAAGGATACCACATTTTTATGGAGTAGTAATCAGCATATGTGTATTTCCCCTCATTTTTTCCCACATGGCATGATTTCATCTATGTATCTCCTTGTCCTTGCCATTATGGTATTTTCTTTATGTTGTAGTGCTCTGGTTCTTTAGCCATTGGTTTGGGGGCATTTATATTGTTTTTCTTTCTTTCCTGCTGTTATAAACGGCATGGCTTTGAATAGTTTCTAGCTGGCATCATCACGGTGCGCCCGAGTGTGTGGGCGTGGCCGTCGGTGTTTTGGTGGCTGAGTGAGAGTGTCCGGCAGGCTGATTCGGGAAGCGGTCTCTTGTAGGTTCAGCCTTCCTCCAGCTGGACATGGTGAGAGTAGAATTGCCGTAGTGGTGCCCAAATAAATGTCCGAATAATTCAGGAGCAACTTTGCATTTATCCAGTGGTAATATTAATCCTATCTATTGTACAACCCCCCCCCGCCACTGAAACCTTACTGAATAGTAATTCTTTACAACCCCAGCCAATCAGTGAGCATCAAAAAAATTGATCTTTAGCTCATGAAGTTGAGACCCAGAGAGGCTTAAGTAATTTCCCCACGATTACTTATCTGTAGAGTGGTAGAACCATGATTTGAACCCAGGCAACCCGGCTTCAGAGTCCAAACTCAAGGTGAGATGTACCTCCTCTCTGGTATCTGTTATTTCATTTAAAAAAAGAACCAAGTAGAAAATAATACCCCAAACAAAAACCTATTAGACTGATCTCTGAGTGGATGGAGTTAACTTGGGATAAAGTTGTGAGGATTTTAGGTGGGGAATAGCATGACTTGTATTTTAGGAAGATGACTTTGGCTTCAGTATGTTTTTATATGTAATAGATTGTAGTGAGCAAAGAAGGTAAATAGGAAACTGTTAAGGAATGGAGGTTAGAAGTGATGATGGTGGATCGGACTAGGAATGAACGGATTTCAGATTATTCTGGAGGTGGGTTTAACCACACCAAGTGGTGGATTGGATTGGAGTGAGGGAGAGATAAATCAGGGGTAGTGGAACAACTTGATGGATAGTGGTTTCATTTATTACGAGATGGAAGAAATTGGAGAAGGAAAGGTTTGTGGAGGGGAAATCCAGCTGTTGGAAACTCAAGCAAGCAGTGGGGGGCAGTGGGCCCAGTTGGACCCCAGTGGAGAGGTTGGAGTCTGATGGGTTTAAGTTTGAAATAAATAGAGAGAGGTTTTATTACTTACTACTTTATAAATTTATTATATAGAAAAGACCATTAAAACTATGTAAATATGTGGGGTGCCTGGGTGGCTCAGTGGGTTAAAGCCTCTGCCTTCGGCTCAGGTCGTGATTCCAGGGTCCTGGGATCGAGCCCCACATCGGGCTCTCTGCTCAGCAGGGAGCCTGCCTCCCACCTCTCTCTGCCTGCCTCTCTGCCTACTTGTGATCTCTGTCTGTCAAATAAAAAAAAAAAAAAACAATGTAAATATGGATTGGGATATATAATTGAAAAGTAACTGAGTTACTACTTGGAATGAAATCAACTCTAATCCCTTTTTTTCCCTCTGTAATTTTTTGCTTCTCTTGACAGACGTTTATGTCCCGCAGTGGCATTCTTGGCTTTAACTTTTCTCTTCATTGATGCATCCTTTTCTAATCACCTGTACTGCTTTTATAATTTGATTAAAATTTATTTAAGAAGTTATGTTCTATATTATTTTTAAAAAATGTTTCAAGTGGGGTGCCTGGGTGGCTCAGCTGGTTAAGCTTCGGCTTTCGGCTCAGCTCGTGACCCCAGGGTCCTAGGATGGAGCCCCGCATCGGGCTCCCTGCTGGGCGGGAGCCTGCTTCTCCCTCTGCCATTCGCTCTGCTTGTGCTCTCCGGCTCTCTCTATCTATCAAGTAATAAAATCATTAAAAAAAATGTTTCAAATGTCTTAGTTTTCTCTCAGCAGTTTTAAGACCCAAAAGGGCAGGAACTGTGTAATGGACTTCATTGATATGTCTTTGCAAGGCATACTTCACCTAAATTGAAAAATCTCATTAGTATCAGCATGTTGTAATTGATAGTTTAGTTGTTTATTCTTTTTTTTTTTTTTTTTTTTTTTTAAGATTTTTTTAATTTATTTATCAGAGAGAGAGAAGGAGAGAGAGTGAGCACAGGCAGACAGAATGGCAGGCAGAGGCAGAGGGAGAAGCAGGCTCCCCGCCAAGCAAGGAGCCCGATGTGGGACTCGATCCCAGGACACTGGGATCATGACCTGAGCCGAAGGCAGCTGCTTAACCAACTGAGCCACCCAGGCGTCCCTTAGTTGTTTATTCTAAAACTTATCTTTATCTAATTATACATATATCTGGTTACCATAGGAATTACGTATAATATCCAGAAGGTATAACTGCCTAATTTTTCATCCTCCTTAACTTTAATAACACACAAAAACTGTTCTCTTGTAAAATTCTCCTCCTCATGTTACTCATGTCACAGATTACATCTTTATCGCTTCATGCCCAATAACATAGACTTATAATTTTTTTTATGCATTTGCCTTTTAAATCTGTAGAAAATAAAAAATGGAGCAGTAGATCAAAATAATAATACTATACTGACTTTTGTAACTGTTCATGCATTCGCCTTTGTCAGAGAGCTTTGTGTCTTCACGCAGCTCTGTGTTACCGTGTCCCGTGTTTCCTTTCAGCCTGGAGGACTCCTTCAGCCTTTCTTCCTGGGCAGACCTGGTGTGAACAAATTACTTCAACTTTTGTTTATCTGAGAATGTTTTAGTTTCTTCTTCAGTTTTGAAGGACTGTTTTGCTGGATAAGGAATTCTCAGCGGGCAGTTTTTTCTTTCAGTGCTTTAACGATATCTGCTCCTGCCTTCCTAGCCTGTAAGGTTTCTGATGATAAACTGGCTGATAGGCCTCCTGAAGAGCTCTTGTACCTTACAGGTAGCTTTTTTCTTGCTGCTTTCAAGATTGCTTTGTTTTTCAACAGTTTGATTGTAATGTGTCTTGGTGTGGGTCTCTGTGTTTATCCTACTTAAAGTTTGTTGAGATTGTGGACTTGTAAATTTATGTATTCATCAAAATTGGGAAGTTTTGGGCTACTATTTCTTCAAATAGTCTCTCTTGCCCTTCCTCTGTGGGGACTCCCACGATGAGTGTGTTGGTCCATAGGGGACATAGATGATGTCCTGTAAGTCCTTCAGGCTCTGTTCACTTTTCTCTGGTTTGTTTTTTGTTTTTTGTTTTACTCCTCTAGATAATTTCATTTGTCCCCTGTTTAAATTTGCTGATTCTTCTGACTACCCAAGGCTGCTGTTGAAAACCTTCTAGTGAATTTTTCTTCAGTAACTGTACTGCTGTTCAGCTCCAGAATATTTCCTTTTGGTTCTTTTTATAAATACCTGTCTCTTTGTTGGTATTGTCATTTTCATTTTGTTCATGTTTCA